TTGAAAGGCTAGGCACCTTCAAGTCAGCTGGTCCTGACAGATTACACCCTAGAGTACTCAAGGACTTGGCAGGTGTCATAGTCCAACCATTGGCAAAAATATTTGAAAGTTCGTGGCGCTCAGGTGAAGTACCTGTAGACTGGAAGAAGGCCAACGTGGTACCCATCTTCAAGAAAAGGCAGAAAGTAGATCCCGGGAATTACAGGCCAATCATCTTGACCTCAATCTCCAGTAAGATTCTGGAGAAAATTATCAAGGAGACCCTTCTGGATAAGCTGGCCGAAGGCAACATCCTGAGCCAGCATGGGTTTATCATGGGTAGGTCTTGCCTGACCAATCTCATCTCCTTCTATGACCAGGTGACATATCACCTGGACAACAGAGAAGAGATTGACGTCATATATCTGGACTTTAAAAAAGCTTTTGATCTGGTGTCCCATGACCTCCTCATGGAAAAATTGGCCAACTGTGGCCTTGGCTTCACCACAATCTGATAGCTGGGTAATTGGCTCCAAGGTCAAACCCACAGAGTAGTGGTCAATGGTAGCGAATCATCATGGCACTCCGTGACCAGTGGCATCCCCCAAGGCTCTGTCCTTGGACCAGTTCTTTTTAACATCTTTATCAATGATGTGGACATTGGTGTCAGAAGTGGACTGGCTAAGTTCGCCGATGACACTAAAGTTTGAGGCACAGCGTCCACACCTGAGGACACGCTAGTGATCCAGGCTGACTTAGTAAGTGGGCAGATACAAACCTGATGACATTCAATATTGATAAATGTAAGGTTCTCCACTTTGGGAGAAAAAACCTGCAGCATGCTTATAGACTCAGCAGTGCTACGCTTGCTAGCACCACGACTGAAAGAGACTTGGGGTCATGACTGACCACAAGGTGAACATGAGCCACCAATGCGATGTCGCAGCTGGCAAAGCAAACAATACTTTGGCTTGCATCCACAGATGCCTCTCAAGTAAATCTCAGGATGTTATCCTCCTGCTGTAGTCAGCCTTGGTGAGGCCACAGCTGGAGTACTGCATCCAATTCTGGGCTCCGCAATTCAAGAAGGATGTTGAGAAGCTTGAGAGAGTCAAGAGGAGAGCCACGCACATGATCAGAGGGCAAGAGAATAGGCCTTATGAAGAGAGGCTGAGAGCCATGGGACTCTTCAGCCTGGAAAAGTGCAGGCTCAGGGGGGACCTGGTGGCTGCTTGTAAGTATAAAAGGGGTGTACATCAAGATCTGGGAGAACACCTGTTCCCTAGAGCGCCCCAAGGAAAAACAAGGACCAACAGTCCTAAACTCTTCCAAGTCCATTTTAGGCTGGAAATAAGGAAAAATGTCTTTACTGTCTGACCCCCCAAGACCTGGAATAGACTCCCTTCAGAAGTGGTTCAGGCACCTACTCTGGACTCATTCAAGAAGCATTTGGATTCTTATCTTGCTGGGATCCTTTGACCCCAGCTGACTTCCTGCCCCTGGGGCAGGGGGCTGGACTTGATGATCTTTGAGGTCCCTTCCAGCCCTAATGTCTATGAAATCTCTGAAGATGTCAGTTTCTGAATCCAAGTAATTAATAAAAATGTTAAATGGACCTTTGTGAAATCTCACTTGAGATCTCCTGCCATTCTGTAAAGTACATATGTATGTAACAGCAATGATGACTAGCCACATTTCTCCAGAATATCATAACTTCTATATTCATTTCTCTCTTGTGCCTTCTGGTAACCACTAGGTACTTAGAGAGCTGACTGACTATAGCTTCAGCTCTGCTATAGAAATATGAGTGACCACAGCAACATTTATTGAGCTGAAGACAAAAAAAAGACATTCCAGGTAGAATGTTTGGTGGACGGAGACACAACAACAACAAATATAAGAGAAGAGAGGGCCTTGAGATTTGATATGCTAAAAACTTATATGAAGTTACCTGTCAATATGTTTCTTACCAACCTCTAACACTTACCTGATAAAATATTGGCATGGAAACTTTTGGGATGGGATGCTTTTCTAAGACTCCTTTTCCAATTTAGTTTCCCCTCCAAGCTGAGTAAGAAAGCTATTTTCCTGTATGAGTGTTAAATGGGAGGAGAAAAGTATTCTTCCTGAGAAATACTACAAAAGTACCACTAATTCCATATGATTGTAGCACAGACCTAAACAGAAGACTGTTTAAACCAAAGAGACACCACAAATTAAAAGTCTGTTTCCCAGCTTCAGAAACACTGTAAAATCAGTGGTTCTGCCAGTGATATATTTTCTTCTATTATATTAAAACCAGTAGTAGTAATTGGAGCAGGGAGGGGAATTACAAAGAGGAAGAAGACATGTTGGGATTATTATGATATTGTAGCAGGCTTTTATTATTGTTCAAAACTCTGTTCATCACAGATATTTCTATTGGTATTTACTAACCATCCTCTTAACAAAAAGCATGTATTAAACTGTACAGGTTCTTGGTTTTGACCACTCCTACTGGCATTAGTTAGCCATAATACATTGCCATTTTGGTGCTATCCTTCCAACCCAGGTTTGGGTCCTTCCAGACATCGAAAAGCTTATTTCAGAAAAGGAAATGTAGGGTCTGGGCAACAGATGGCTGACTCTAAATATACATCTTCAAGAACATCTTTATTCTTTTCTAGATTGTGGATTTTGTCCCCTGCCCTAATTATACAAAATCTTTGCATTGTCAAGGGTTTTAAAGTGACTTCCTTTTGGAATTCTACTTCTTCATTAGCCATTGCTGAATGAGGACTGAGTAGACCTCATCCATTAAGTTTCTAAAACTACATTATGCTTGCAACCACAGACAAATCCCAGTTAGAAAAAGCAAAGAACTTAACACTTTAGCATTGAGATAGAATCTTACCATTACTGATACAATTAAATTTGCTGAGTATCTCTCAGAACATTAACCTCCCTCCTTCCCCAATAACTAAAAGACTGCAATCTCAAATAATACAATTTTGTAAAATGGCTTTCAGGTACATTATGTCCCAAAACGATTTTTATAATTGTTGAAAATAGTATAATTGCATGATTAAATGGAGGGGAAAGGAGAGAAGGAAGAGACAGAGAGAGAGATTTGTCTTTGAGATATATTGTGAAATAGGACAGACAAGCAATGAAGTATATGCAAAAAACTACTACAAATAGTAGTAGCTGCCGAAGAGCATGATACAGAACCAAGGAATGTGACACTGAAGCGCGAAAGATGAGACCAGTGACAGAAAGATGGAAGATATTTATGACCTAACACTTATTTTTACCCTATCTAGATACTTTTCTTGTCAGCACTGTTAGAAAATGCACACCAAAATTTAAAGCATTACAAAACAAAAGACAACATTCTGGGCTATAGAACCAGGAGAACCAAACACATGTTGCTAAAAGACTAGTCTACTGCTTTAAAAAACAGTCAAGATAACAGAAAGGGTTGGAACAACTGACTGAAATAATGACCATCTGCTTAGAACATGTACTCAAGAAGCATTCACAGATGCAAAGATTAGATTATCAGATAGTGTAAATTAGCATAGCCTTAATTAACTTCAGTGGATTTATATTCATTTACCTCAATGAGTATCTGGCTCACTGAGTCCTTCAAAGTTTCTGCAAAGACAGCCACACAGTTGCCCTAAACAACAGCCCTGATGACAGCAATACAGTGGCTAGACCTTGCAGGTTCAAGTTTAAGAAAAAAGGCCAGGGGGAACTTGGTTTCAGGTGGGAAGAGGACTTCAGGATGTACTTTCATCTTTGCTGTCATAGAGCAGGAAACACTTGGGGTTCTTCCCACCCTGAAAGTGGAGGACCCATGGAAACACAAGCCAGGGTAAGCGAGAAAGATCTGTGAGCAGAGAAGGTGCCAGTTTGGATCTCTTTGTCCATAACAGTCACTAGTGCCAAGATACAGGGAACTTTCATAGAAGAGATCTTAATGTGATAAGTGACAGAGACCTCATTTAAAATAATACATCAGCTACTAAGCATAAATATATGAGTAAATGGAATAATTTAAATATTTCAAAATGGAATTTTGACAAGCATTTGGAAAAAAAGTATTTAATATAACTTCTAATAACAGAAGAGATGAGGAACTGGAGATATTTCATGGTCTCCCTGCCATCCTAAAAATTCCTATGCTTGACAGAAAGTAAAACTGCTGTCATTTTCTAGGCAGTAAATGTTTTACCGCTGGGAAAGCATTTTGATGTTTGTAACTTCTATTGAAGAGCACTATGAAGTAATTTAAAAAAAATATTGCCACATCTGAACAACAGACCAAAAGGAAGTACTAGACACTTGTTCATCTGTATTTCTGTGACTTTTCTCACTCGGTATTATTTGCAGCCATACTTTTATGTCTGGCAAGAGTGCCAGCTCTAGTAAGGATCATATATTAACTTTTATCATGTTGATTACATATGTTCGCCAGTTTTGCTGCCTACATACGATTAGTGTGGTTTGCACATACTCAATGACACAATCCAGAGCACGACATTTTACAGAAAATGTGTATACTGTGAAATAGCTCCTTAGAAGTTTTCTTTCCCTTACAGCTTTGATCCACATGACATCAACAGTCCTACATTTTGAGTATGGGCATACCATTTACGTTATTATCATTTATCTCTTTCATATTATATAGCTAGTCAGAGCTATGGTAGTCATAAAAAGTCCCTTTTATTATTGAGTGATGTGAGTTTTAGCTAAATAAAAGAAAGTCTTTTAAAATGCTTTCATCTGTGATCTTTAGTTTCATAATGACTTGACATTTAAATTCTGTTATTCATCAACACTTCACAGAAGTACTTATTTGTCTAAATGGATTTGAAAGCCTGCAAGTGAAGAAAATCAGAAAAACCTGGTCTTCAATATCAAAAGACTGTAAATGAAAAGTATTTTTACAGGCTGCACGCACCCAAGTTTTATTGATCAATTAACTTCCCCTCAAATGAAATATTTGTGAGTTTGGATATAAGAAAAATACTTACTGGTAAATGTCTTTTCGGAGAACAGCTCTGCTAAGAGGGTTGTCAGCCTGGGGAGCCATAGAGACTGAGCCAATCTTGAGAACTAAAGTGTCTTCTTTTATTGCTTGATTGGCTACAGCTAAAAAGAGAGAACATACACATGCATGTTTTAAGTGTAAGCATGCACAGAGGCACATAACAGAAACATAGAAGAGACTGTTATTAAAAATCTCAAGATCAGTGGGGGTGCACAGAACTGAGTACTGCAAATACTTTATTGCAAAAGAGTAACACTTGTACAAGGAATCCTGTGAAATTGTTGACAATACCATGACACATAACAAAGAGGTAATTGCAGCCTAGCTGGCTCAATAAAGTTTTACCATGCATCTTAAATCTGTAACTTCTTGCTCTATCTCTTGCTATCTTATCTCAAACGTGGTTTTTTTCAAAAGGAACTCCAAATACCTTTTTATATCCTGCAGCTGTCCTCTCACAAACACCCTTCTGAGATAACAGTTACAAAAAATGCCAACAGATTAATTCTTCACTGTATGGGTTTGGACCCTTGAATGGTATGAAATAAAAACTGTAGAACTTAGTCTAGCTGGCACAACAGGAAACTTTTCACACTGGCTATCCACAGAATCATAGAAAATTAGGGTTGGAAGGGACCTCAGGAGGTCATCTAGTCTAATCCCCTGCTTAAAGCACGACCGTCCCCAACTAGCTCATTCCAACCAAGGCTTTACCTAGCTAGGTCTTAAAAACCTTCAAAGATGGAGAGTCCACGACCTCTCTGGGTAACCTGTTCTAGTGTTTTACTACCCACCTAGTGAGAACATTTTTCCTAATACCTAACCTAAACTTCCCTTGCTGCAACTTGAGACCATTGCTCCTTGTTCTGTCATCTGCCACCACTGAAAACAGTTTAGCTCTATCCTCCTTCGAACCACCCTTCGGGGAGTTGAAGGCTGCTACTAAATTCCATCTCAGTCTCCTCTTCTCTATACTAAATAAGCCCAGTCCCCTCAGCCTCTTCTCAGAAGTCATGTCCCCCAGCTCCCTGCCCATTTTTGTTGCCCTCTGCTGGACTCTCTAAATTGTCCACATCCTTTCTGTGTGTGTGTGGGGGGGGGGGGCAAAACTGAACACAGTACTCCAGATGTGGCCTCACAAGTGGTCAATAGAGGAGAATAATCACTTCCCTTGATCTTCTCGCAAAACTTTTACCAATGCAGCCCAGTATGCCTTTAGCTTTCATGGCAACAGGACACATTGCTGGTTCATATACAGCTGTCCACTGTAATGCCCAGGTCCTTTTCTGCAGAGTTGCTGCCCAGACAGTCAGTTCCCAGCCTGTATCAGTGAATGGGATTGTTCAGTTGTAAGTTCAGGACTTTGCAATCATCTCATGGTCGCTGCTACCCAAATTGCCATTTACTAGTACATTCCCCAGCAATTCTTCCCTGTTTGTGAGCAGCAGGTCAAGAAGAACATGGCCCCTAATTGGTTATTTCCAACACTTGCAGCAGGAGGTTGTCCCTAACATTCTCCAAAAACTTCCTGGATTGCTTGCACACTGCAGTATTGCCCTTCCACCACAGGTCAGGGTGACTGAATTCCGCCATGAGAATCAGTACTTGTGATTAATTGGGAAAATTCTGCTAGCTGTTTGAAGAAAGTCTCATCCACCACTTCTTCCTCCTGGTCTAGCAGACCTCCACCAGGACATCACCCTTATTGCTTTCCCCTCTGACCCTAACCCAGAGACTATCAAACAGACCTGTCTCCAGGGTCATACTGGAGCTCTGAGCAATCATATGGCTCTGCTATGTAAAGTGAAACTCCTCCTCCTCTTCTCCCTTGCCTGTCTTTTCTGAACAGTTTATACCCATCCGTGACAGGGCTCCACTCATGCAAAGTATCCCACTGAGTCTCTGTTATTCCAATCATGTCATAGTTCTGTGACTGTGCAAGGAGTTCCCATTTTTCCTGTCCGTTTCCCAGGCTCCGTGCATCCTTGTACAGGCACTTAAGGTAAGTAGTTGATTGCCATAATTTCTCAGGAAAAATGAGGACACCTCCTCTGTGGCCCCCTCCTGCTTGCTTTTCCTCCAGTTCACCCACTTCTCCACAGGGCTTTGGTCTCCATCTCCTGCAAACCCAGCTTAACGCCTTCCTCACTAGGTTAGTGAGCATGTCAGTGAAGAGGCCTGGAATAGCCTGCCATCGGAGGTGGTTCAAGCACCTACATTGAACACCTTCAAGAGTAAATTGGATGCTTATCTTGCTGGGATCCTATGACCCCAGCTGACTTCCTGCCCTTCCGGTGGGAGGCTGGACTCGATGATCTTCCAAGGTCTCTTTCAGCCCTAATGTCTATGAAATCTATGAAAGATGCTCTTCCCTCTCTTCATCAGGTGGATCCCATTTCTTCCTAGCAATCCTTCTTCTTGGAACACCATCCCACAGTCAAAGCAGCTAAAGTCTTGCTGGTGATATAACCTGTGCAGCCATGCATTGATCTGCAGGATGCACCTGCTCCTGCCTGGGCCCTTTCCCTTGACCTGAAAGATAGAAGAAAATACCACCTGAGCCCCTCTCCCCTTCACCCAGAGCCCTGTAGTCACATTTGATCTGCTCAGGGTCTCTGCTGGTAGTATCATTGGTGCCCACATTGACGAGCATCATGGGGTAGTAGCTAGAGGGCCGGATGAGTCTTGGTAATCCTTCCATGACATCTTGGATATGGGCTCCAGGGAAGCAGCAGGCTTCCTGAGACAAAGGGTCAGGTTGGCAGATGGACCTCTCCATTCCCCACAGAAGGGAGTCTCCAACCACCACTCCCTGTCGCTTCTTCTTGGTGGCCTCAATCCTTCCCACTTTGAGGAGGCCTAGCTTGTCCTCCTCCACCAATGGAACATGCTCTTTGGCCTCTGTTGCTAGGGCTCCATATCTATTCTCCAGATGAACTGCTGCAGGTGAAGATGAAGATTTCTCCTTGCTGCCGGAGGTTACTGTGGACGGGTCTGCTCGTCACCTTCGCTGCAAAAGTCCCACCAGGTTCCCTGGCTATGTATAGTACTCACTCAGGAGCCGCACGCGTCCAACCCGCCTGCCACGACTTTGATGATTCTCCAGTTCAGTGTATGGTCCGATGCGTGCACGTCCAAAAATGAGACGCTGTGCAGGGTCCGTCGCTGTTGAGGGCTCCTCCACCCCTACACCCTTGCCCGGGCCTCCATAAGCGTCCGCCTCTGGCAAGCCGCTTCGGTCCTTCAAGTCTCCCCTCCCGCGGGGCACAAACTTCAACCAAAAAAATAGCAAAAAGGACGAACACAAACACTACTCTTGTCCGGAGCTGCGGACTTTGAGCCCCTATGTAGGCTTTTAGCAGAGTCCGTGTCTCTTCCTCAGCGATCCCTTTTCCTGGCCTCAGAAGGAAGCCTTCTGACCCACCTGGGGCCCCTGTCCTTCCGGGCTGTCCGGTTCCCTCCCACTCAGGTAATGCAACCCAGTCCAACTGCCCTCTTCCTTGGGCTTCCTGCTGCTTAGCCCCCACCTGCCGGTGCCAGACGCTCCTGGCCCTACTATTCCGGGGCTTAGCTTTTGGGACCACCGTCCCGAATCCCACCATCTCTTGGGGCCTTACCCCTGCCCCAAAACGTACGGGTGCGTCGCGCGCTGGTGTGCGTCTGCTGCTCCGGACTCCCGCCGGCGTCCATCTCCCATCCTGGCTCTTCTGGTTCCGTGCCCCGGCTCCTGGGTTCCGGCGCTTCTTTCATCCTGCTCGGATCTATCCCACACCTGGAACAGGTAAGTGAGTGCCCCGCCCTCCGGGGCAACAGACGGTCTGTTACTGCAGGAGCTCCCACCCCACGAATCTCGGAGCTTGTCAGCTCCTCTGCTCCCTCACAGTTACAAGGTTCCAGTTTCCACTTCTGTGGTAGTTCATGTCTTTTCCCTTCTCTAGCATTGCCTCTGGCAGTTCTTCCTCCACAGTCCCAGAAGTCTCATCCAGCTTCAAATTCATGGAGGAGGGTGCTTTGGAACCTAACCACCTCCTGTATCTCTCTTGCTTGTTCCCTGAAAGATACCACCAGGAGGCACTGCTCATGCTGCAGGCACTCCCCCACCTGGCCATTACCAGAAGCGACCTGCAAGCTGCAGTCCCACAGAGCCAAACCCAGACCTGGATGGAAACCTCAATGGTCAGCGGTCCTGCCTAGACAGAAACCTCACAGGTGCATGCAGAAGCAGTGAATGTGGCTCTGGTACTGTGATGTCTTCCAGCCATTTCCTTGAGTCTCCTAATCTGCCTCTTCTCTCTTACTGCCTTTCTTCCAAGCACACCTTCCTTAGTGAACTCACCTGGAAGCTGACCTGCTTACTGTTCCTTTGCCCCAAAGGGTTCCTTTTTCCCTGCTTCCTCACACCAAGTTGAAAGGCTATCCTCTCAAATGGGAGGTGACACAAACTGACCTGCAAACAGACCACTGAACTACCTGCAAATGACTTGGCCTACCCCTGTTTGCTGGCTCCCTGGTCATTTTTATGCCCTTCTGGGCACGGACTGGCTCTACCCCCCTGTTAGGGCTTTTGCCACACGCAGGCAGCAAGCAATCAGCAATTGCTCAGCTAGCAACACTCCCAGCTTCTCAGAGCACATGCCCAAAACACACAGAGAACATCAAACAAACACACTGCAAGCCAAGGTTGCAGTCTTCACAGTTTGCAAAGCAGACAGGATAAACACGTACCCTGGCTAAGTACAGACAGTCAAAAAGTCTGAGGCTGAATCACTTTAATCTTTGCAGGTTAATCTAAACTATGTATATGTAACCAATAAGCAAGCAAACCAACATGTACTTTTGAGTCTGGCAATGCAGCCATATGCCTTCAGTGGCCCAGGCCAGAAGACAGGGGACACTAGAGCATGCCTCCCGGCTCAGCTGGAGCAAACAGCTTGGGCCAAGGCTAGCCCACCCACCATGTGAGGGGGCAGGAGGTGTTGCAGGGGAGGTGCAAAGCATCCTGGGATGCTGTGGGACTGTGAGTTAACTTGAATCTGGAGGGGATCTGGGACAGAAGTTCAATAAACCGATTTAACCTAAATTATCAGTTAAATCTGATAAC